TAAGATCTTTGAAATTGTTTTTTCTTGAAAAAAGAATTGAGGTGTTTAAGATTGTAAAGGGAATTGATGCATCATATTTTTTCATACTTAATGGTGAGAATAGTAGGACTATAGGACACAAATATAAATTTTGGCAAGGTAGGAGTCATCCTCAGCTAAGACAGTTTTATTTTTCTAATGGGGTGGTTAGCCTCTGGAATGGGTTGCCTTTAGATGTTGTGAAGACAGTAAATTTAAGTGTGTTTATGAGAAAGCTTGATAACTATATGAATGATAAGGATTGGCTTTAAGAATTTTTTATTTATTTTTTTAAATTTAAAATAGTTTTAGTTTAGAGGATGGGACAGCTGAGATGAACCAATATGTCTTTTGTTGGCCCTAAATATTATGTTATGTTAATCTGTCTTAGCTTTAAAGATACTAGATTTCATGTTTTGGCATAACTTATCAAATGGTTTCACTTTCATTCTCTAAAATGTATGATAAAATTATATAGAAAAATGTAACTCATACAAACATAAAAAGAAACATTTTTATAAACTTGTGATGAATATAAAATACAAATTATTAACATTGTTTCCAGTTTAACAAATAAGTGTGGCTAGTTTGTTCCAGAAAATATGACAAGAAAGTCAATTTAAATACAATTATTATCATTGACTTAATTTACTAGACTTCATACCAGACTAAACTATCTTTATTTTTGTGACAAGACTGAAAGACAGTGATCAATAGCTGTGTGCATACATAATATAATTCAAGAAGATAAGTTGAAAAGTCTGCAAAATTTTTACTTTTCATTTACAAAACAATAGGCTATATTGCTTAAAATATTAAAAAAGGTATATACACACACAACAACTGGATAAATTTAGATAATTTTTTTCTTAAAAATCTAAAACAAATTTTATATTTCTATTGTGTTTTAAATTTTCCCATAAAGTTGAAATTATAACAGAACATCTAAGACTTGAGGGCTATGTTTTCATCAGTTGCATTAGAAGACATACACATTACCTCATATAATCAGCTTCAACTAGTTATTCATTCAATCACTTTGTTTTATTTGTTGTACAGTTTCTGTCAAAAACAAAAGTAAGGATGCAATGAATAAAGAAAAAAACATCAACACACTGTTCATTCAGTAAAACTTCTCCTCATCAAAGTGCAAATTCATGAAGATTCAAAATGATGAAAACTGTATGCAAATGTTTGTGGTTCAGTCAGGATGTTCTGAATCCAAGTAAATTCACTGCAAGCTAGTCAGCTGTGCATGTTTGTACAGAATAATTGGACCAGTTGATCCAACACAAATTTATTCTTCAACCTTCATGCTGCAGCTTCATGACATAAGGATGACAAAAAAAAATAAATATGTAGAAATAACAAAATAAAATGTATCCAATAAATGTACTTTACACAAGATTTAAGTGTATTGTCACGTGCTTTGAAAAAAACAAAACATTTCAGCCTCATAAAACAAAAGAACAAAATTAGAATTTATAAAAACAAGTAAATTTGATTCAATTAAGCCCTTAAATCAATATAAAAAGTAAACAATTCAAGTGTTCCTGAGATAAGATCAAAGATAAATAAACACATCATATGTTTTGATGGGACATTATTTCTGCACCATCTCAAAAAATGCTGAAAACAGTAATGATGCATAAATTTCTTAACTCAAACAAAAATGGATTACAAAATTACATAAAAAGGGGAATATTTTCATAACAAGTTATGATAAATTAAATTCTTTATTTCATTATGCAAAAACTAGGAGTATATCATAGTCAAGTTTAATTTTATAAAACACAAAAAAGCATTAAGAAAAGCTAGTGTAAATTTCATGCATCAGTTTGTGAAAGTCAAACTTAAACTGTGTATTAACTGTAGTTGAAGGCACTCTACTCTGACTCCATTCAGCATATTCACACTACAATCTTCATCGATTGAAGAACTTTTCATTGGAACATTTCCACTCTTGAAATATTAATATTTGGGGTTTACTTGGCACATTAGCATTCCTGCTAAACACTGAGTAACGTAAGTTGCTGCTGATGAAACCTTTTACTAAACACCTGAACTTAACAGACTAGCTTAGCTAGTAAAAGGGGCTGGAAGTTAACATTAGATGTATTTAAATGGACTTCCCATAGAATTAACAGTAACTTAAGTGGATTTCAGATACTGTTAACATTAACTGTATTTAAACAGAATTCAAAAAGAGTTAATTCTAATTGAATTTAACTGAGCTTCATTTAAACTCAATATTAGTAGTATTGAAGTAGGCTTCATGTAAAGTTAATTTAAGTATAACTTGTATCTTAATGCAGTCTCTAGGCTTAGTAAGTTTTAAAAGTATTTAATGTTAAAATGCACAGGACTTGTGTAAATTACAGTTACATTTCTTAGGCATAAAAGTGTTTAATTCTGGCAAGGAAGCAAGGTGTGTGCTTCTTTTATAAGAACATTACTTACGTAATTTCCCATCTTTAAAACATTTTCAAAGTCTGGATCCATATCATCATGATCCATAGCCATAAAGAGGGTGTTGACAACAATGCACAAGGTTATGAAGAGTTCCATGAAGGGATCAAACACAATCAAGGAGATTAACTGTTGGAAACGAATCCAACACCAACAACAGTCCCACACACAAAAAATATCAATACACCGGAAACATTGGGCTAAACATCGATCTTTTAACTTCACTTTCACAATCTCTTCCTCTTCTTGTACTAAAAGGTAGGGGGAAAGATAATTGCATCAATAACTACTGAAGTTTTATGCTATTAATAATAAAAAACAAAGATCTTATTAAATAAGACATTCTAGGATGGAATGAACTTTATAAAAATATTTATTATGTGTTTCATTAAAACAACATATTATACAGATTCTCTATGACAGTATAGTGTACAAGTCAGACTCATTAGAGAGCATAGTAAACATGTCACATTCTGTAAGACAGTATGGTGTAAAAGTCCAACTAAGTAAGGTAGTATAGTGTAAAAGTCAAAGTAAATAAGGCAGTATAGTGTAAAAGTCCAACTAAATAAGGCAGTATAGTGTAAAAGTCCAATTCAGTAAGACAGGTCATCAACCTATGAAAAAGTTTTAAATATTACCTCAGGTTCGGAGAAAAATATAGGAAAATATAATATCTGATAGGTAATCAGCCCCATTTAAAAATGCACTTTAAGTTTGAATATCTTACTTGTTTATGTTGTACATTGTCAGCTGTTTCCTCACTGTAGTACTGAAATAATTACTTTATAGTGAGTGAAAATTTCCATTGTTGAACTTTATTGTTTTAAAGGAGAATTTCATTCAGATCACATTTGTTTTATCTTGAGTGTGTATATTAAGATATTAATAGCTGCAGTTTAGAAAAAGACAATCTTCTGTCTCAGAATCTGCATCCTGGTTTATGAGTTTTGATGATGAGGTAGTATCTTATTTACCAATCCCCAAGTTTGCTACATGTTTCATGTCACTTTTAATGGAACTTATTTCTTTTTAAAAGCCAGAAATTGCCACTACAGCCAATCCTGAAATAAATTTGAATAATTACTGTAATAATTAAGCTAAATCATTAATTTTATATAAAATCAATCTCGAAATAAATCAGAGAGAAGAATATATAAATCTTACAGTAAGTCAAAATTTAGAACATAAAACATTGTCCAATCTTATAATAAACCTAAATGTAGAAAGTAAAAACTGTCCAATCTTATAATAATCTTGCAATAAGTTGGGCTATGAAAGATAAAACATTGCATAACCTTGCAAAAAGTTGGGCTATAAAAGATGAAACAGTGCCCAGTCTTGGAATAACTTGGGCTATGATAGATAAAACATTGCCTAATATTAAAATAAGCCAAAATGATGTTTTACTAAACCAGAAAATAGAGAACAGATAATTGCTTTATCAGATTCTGAAATATAGTTTAACTTGAAATATCATGAAATATATAATGACACTCACAACTAATTACTCAATAAAATCAACAGAATAAAACCAACAAATCAAAATAACAGTGAAGTTTAACCAAACTTACAAAATGCTAAAAAGTTGGAAATATAAGAATTAACAAAAAATGTATTTCAGATAGTTATACATAGCATGTGAGTTAAAACACATTTGTATCTGTAGGCTTTGAAACATTTGCTTTAAAATGAGTTCCTTAGCAAATCAATCCAAAGGCATGTGCTTTAATAAGCAGGCAATTTACCTCGGTCACTCAGCTTGCTTTGTCTTCCTGCAGCCTGCTCAATGATGTCATTCAGTACCATTACATCTGTAATACAGCATAACATGGTCTTGATGAAGGAACATTTACACTTTATATATTTTTAAAACATCAGCAATCAAATAAAGCAACACTCATAAAATTTATATTTTTTAATCTTATAATTTATGTACAAAAAAGAGCCAGATTTCTAGGTTAATTAATTAAATTTGGTAAATAATACTTAAAAATGAAAGTCTTGTAATATCTATTCATCTGAAAAATTTTACTCTTTAATCTAACAAACACATTCAAAACAGAAAAGGTTTCTGATTTTTAAAATAATAAAAAACTCATAATTTAGTACTCCAGTCACAGATTGGAGTCTTAGAATCTAAGATAGTCTATAAATAGAACATTCAAACCTTTCATATCCACCATAGTCTGTTTCTGTGCTGGATCATCATCGGGTTGTTTGGGTTTCTCTATATGGTCTTCACTTTTGTAAGATTCATCCTGTATGACAGGTAGTTGGATGATGTTTATAATATTAGGTGAGGATTTTAAATAGTTATATTATCTGCTTCTTAAATTAAAAAAGTAATATTACTTTTAATTGTCTAATGTCTTTAACATAGGTTATAAACTTTCATAAAACTTAAATCCTTAGTTTCATGTATTTAACAGGTATAGTATAAACTAATATAATAGGAGGAAGAGGTAAATATAGAACTGGAACTGTAAAGAAAAATAAAGATGATACACCAGATGATATTCCAGAAGATGTAGATGGAAAAACATTAACAAAGAAAAATTTACTGTTTTACTACCTTTAGAAAAAAATTTGGCAAAAGTGGATCATTTATAAAAACTGGAACAATACATGAAATCGTAGATATGTTTAATATATGCATATGAAAACATACACAAATAGTTTATAAATTCTGAATTAGTATTAAACTCTATTTTAAAACACATTTTTGTCTTTTTCAATTCTCAATCATTATGAGTTTCACGTCTGATCTCACTGAAATACCTTTTTTGATTCTGTTTAAATTAACATTACTTGTAAGTCTTTGAACAAAGTTTCAATGATGGATGAAGTAGTTTTATAAAATATTTGTTTACCATTTTAGTTGTGTAATAAAGTATAAATACTTAACATATATTTATTATGTAAAATTTTTACATGGTCTTTCAAAAGTAGTTGATTTTAGTGGGAATGCTAACCGATTCCACAGCAAAAAATAATTAAACATAACTAGTTCAAACACTTGTAATATCTAATCAAACACAACAAGCACAATACTGCTAAATAGATTAAAAAGCTAAGCCAAGCACCTAATAATCTACAAATTTTACTTCACAAATCTATACTACTAGAAACAAAACATTCCAGCAGCCCATTTACTTAAGATGTTTTCAGTCTTTCTAGACTCTTATGAAACCTCTATGACAATGCAAATAAGTCAAGAATAGAATAATGTTTAATATAGACTGTAAATTTATAGGCATTCTTCATTATGCACTCTTATACACAACAATGTTTATCTTATTGAAAAAATCTAGAAGCAAATACATGGGTATTTATGACATTTACAAACAGTTGGAATACAGTCACACTACATAATAATATAAAACTACCTCAGATAACGCTACCCATAATATAACAAAATGACAAAAACTAATTTCATATAACAATACATGGAGTCTAACAGAATAACTTGGTATTAATTTCACCTAACACCAATTTAAATCTAAAAAAATTATATTTTATATAATAAAATACTGCATAAGGCAAAATAAATGAACTCAATATTATCTCAAGCAACTTTATATTATAAAATAATTCAATGTTATCTAATGTAACACTAATTTAAGTCTAATTAAATAGCTCAATACTATCTCATTTAACACTACTATAATTCTAACAAAATAATTCAATAATATCTCATTTAATAATACTGTAAGTCTAATAAAATAACTCAATACTATTTAATTTAGCACTTGTTTAAATCTAATAAAATAACCATGTAACACTACTTGAAATCTAATACATCCCTTAGTACTCTCTCATGTAACCCTACTTTAAACCTAACAAACTAACTCAATATTATATCATGTAACACTTAAGAATTTTATAGAATCTAATGTTAACATTTTCCTTACCTGAAGATGTCTTTTTGATAGATACTTACATCTGCACACAGTTTAGCTATCTTTCTCACACATCTCCCACTTAATTTCATATGAATTGTGCTACTGTATTGTGATGTAATCATGTGACAAAAGCCCTCCACCAATAGGAGGGCAACACACCCCCATATGCAAGGCTCCCTTATGCACTTGCACTCATGGAGCTATATTATTAGACATCCAAACAATAGTAATCGCAGGTAGGAAGAAGGAGAAAACAAGTCAGGAGAGAAAGATGGTAGAAAAGAAATCAAATACTCTAATGGGGCAAGGATGAGATTTTTCAAAACCTCAGAACATAGTGAAGAGGACAGAGAAAGAAACACCTTGTGGTACCAGGAAAGAAGAAATGGTTTGGACAAGGCCTCCCAACTACTAGTAAAGGCAGAGACCTAACAAGCCATTGATGAACAGTCAGGTAAAAAGGCAGAAAGATGGTTCACATTATGACAGCCAGGAGGAAAGGAAATAGAAGAAGGACCAATGACAATGGTGATAAGAAGAATGCCACATAATTGGAAAGTCCAGCCAAATAGGCAACAGACTGGGTGAACTCCATGCATGAGAATGGAAGGAAGATATCCCTCGATTAAGAAGGATGCATGAAAGTGCATATGGTATAATGACGACTCTTACGATATCAATAAATATAAAAGGGGCTAACACTAATATGATGGGAAGATGGGAAAAAAATGGATGGAATATAGAAAACAAATGGAGTATGCGCTGAGAGTGACATTTAGGATGGTGTCTGACACACAGATCATGGACAACTGCATACTGGGTGAAAAATACTATTTACAGAGGGTCAGAGAGAGATGTAGAGGAAAGTGGAAGAGAAGTAAAGAGAAGAGGAGCAAGGAAAGAGACCAAGGAGGAGAAATGAAAAATGGTTGTTGATAGAAAATGATATTTGTTGTAGAAGAAGATATGAGCACCCACAGATTCATGAATGCATAAATACCACAAACAAGAAAAGTGACAAACTAGACTTCTGTTAGAGGGAAAACAAGAAAAAAGGGGAAGGTCTGGAACCTCGATTGGGAAAGTTAGGAGTAGACTGGTATATACAAATAATAGTAGTAAAGAGTAAGGTTGAGAGAGAGAAAAACCTGGGAAGATAAGGAGGACAGAAGCCATATAACATCAGTCCAAGGCACCAGAAAGAAACTGAAGCATGAAGTGCCTCAGAGATAAGGCAGAGTTAGGAAAGGGAATACAGGAGGGTAGAGAGAAAAACACAAAAATGGAGAACCAGAAAGTGAAATAGAAGAGAAGGGGCCCAATCCCCAAGCTGGCAAAATAGATACCAATGACAAGGAATCAAGAAAGGGTAAGGAAGAAAGCCTACAAATCAGGACCAAAGTAATCATGAATAAGAGGGAGATAAAGCATTTTGGCATAAGAAAGGAACTATGAAAGAAAGGAAACAGTATAAATCCTAATAACAGCAAGGAGAAAAGAAATGGTAAATTCCAAGAATCATGGATCAGGCGAGTAAGAAAACAAGAAATAATAATGAACCCAGGCAAAAGATAAGAAAAGGAACAAATATTATAATGAAATCCAGAAATAGATTGAAAGGTTAAGGTCATTTCACGAATGGTAAAGTACTACCCAAAGCTCATCAGGTGAAGGTTATAGTCTAATAGATAATTCCCAACTGAGGAAAAATAAATTTGGCTGAGAGGATTAGAGTAGAAATCCCATTAAGCACGTGGTAATATACAACACACTGAACAATGGCTCAAATGACCCTCACAATTAACAAGCCTCCAAAACGTCACTCATTCAGAACTAAGCATAAATCACAATAATTTGAGAATTCACAAACAATAAAGCTTTTGAAACAAAAGTCAAAGTTTTGTTAATGATACAAATCTCAATAAATTGAACTCAGACAAGAAATTAAACTCATCTGATCAACACAATGCTTAGAAGAAGAATAAAGTTCCACAAATGCAAGTGCATAGGGGGAGTAATTGTGCATTTGAGATGTGTCATTCTCCTATTGGTGGAGGGCTTTTGTTGTATGATGACATCATCATGCAGAAGCACAATTCATGTAAAATAATGTGAAATTAGGAGGGAGTTGCCTCAAGAATTGTAGCATGCAAATCTCTCTAGCAAATGTGCAAGGAAGATAGCTAAACTGTGTATGGAGGTGAGGTAGTCTTGGAAGTAATGCTACACAAAATCTTATATAATAATTCAATAATATCTCATGCAACACTGCATAAAATCTAGGAAAATATTATAAAACTATTTAATGTAACATTACATAAAATCTAGGAAAAGATTTTAATATTATCTTACTTAATATTAAATAAAATATATGAAAATAATTCAATACAATCTCATGTAACACTGCATAAAATTTCATTTATAAGGTACTAGTGGACATTACATTTCTGGCATTAATTTTAGAAGATATCCACAATTACTGATGTACATTAATCTTCAACTTAGAATTTGTTTATGCAAAATTTCAAGTAGTAAATCTAGCTGCGTCTAAGGAGTTCAGATAATCAGATAGGAAGTGTTTGAACTCTTACATTTATACCAAAGTTAGTACAGGTATAATTTAATAACAGGCATATCTAAGTATAAAGCAATGTTGTTATTTAGTTCTGTTGAAAACTCAAGCAATGCAGTATTCCTCTAGAACTACTGATAGATATCTCATAAAAATTATATAAAGTAAGAAGATCATAACACTTATGGTTCACTAAACTTTCAACTGATGTAAGGCTATCAACAAAACTAGTAGGTATATGTGAAAATAGATTAAGGCTTCCAACTTTATATAATTTGTATGAGATGACTAATCTACAGCAATTCAAACATGAAATTTCTAATAAAATGCCAGAAGACTCAGATTATAGATATACTTCTTTTACACTAAGCATGCTTTACTTGCTACTAATAAATCGATGTACATGTTTACATGCAAACAGGTGTAAATCACAGCATATTTCAAAATAAAGTGTTATATACACTAGCAAGAACCTTTCAGCAAATGTTAGACATTGTTTCTTTATAAGTATAGTGGAGTGATCCTTATGTATGTAAGAGAAGCAAGAAGTTTCTTATATCTTAGTGTACAAGAAAGTTTTGATTCTCTTTGAGGTTGTAAGCCCACATACATTAATGTTATGTAATATATAGAGTAACATACTGCACATTTCCTTGTATTTTTTAAATGTATCATTTTAGTGTTTCAACTTTTTAAAATAATGCATTATTTTTATCAAGAAGGGTAGGTGAACATTTAACATTAACGTTTACTGAAATATCTGTTAAAGAATGTATTTTAATATGGTTCTTATATGAGATTTTTCTGAGATTCAGAAAAAATATGATTATTTTTCACAGTGGCAACAAACTTTAGCAAAAGAACATGCACATGGAATCAGTTTCTCAAGTAAATCAAACATGCTTTATCTTATGGAATCAGTTTCTCATGCAAAGCTTTCTGTAGACTAGTGTCCAAGATAATTGTAACATTAAAACTAAATGCATAACAGTTGATGGAAACTTTCTCATTTTTCTATACAAATAACTGATGGTGAACATTTTATAACCTGTTACTGTCCTTTAGAATATTAAATATGGTTGATTAAAAAATAATAAAGTATATTAAGTAATATTAAGTATTTATTATTTTACATAAAAATAATTAAATTGCATATAAAGACATAGAATCACTAAAAGATGTTTAACAAAATCAAGTGGTGAAAAGAAACTTGGATGAGTGTCAAATAATCTCTGTGTCATAGTTATCACATACCTAGGAAAGCACAGATCTTGGGTGCCAGAGAAGCAACCTGTGGAATACTATAAGTAAGAATTAGCATGCAATAGTATCACTCAGCAAAAGGAAAATGGCAGAATTGAATGAATGGCCTAGTAAAATGAAAAACACAAACAAAATGCACAATGTTTTGTTATATTACTGATTTTTTTTTAGCAATTTAGACCTTGTCACTGACATTGAAATGACACAATGACTTAGCAAGAGTTAAAATGACACAATGGCTTAGCAAAAGTTGACACCACTCAATGTGACACCATGCATAAATTGTTACAATTACATTAATTTCAGCCCTTGATTACAAGCTCTAAAAGTTCATTTTGCATTTAAATGGAGATCTTAATAAAGCAGGGAAAACAGTTAGAGGGATAAGAAAGGTTACAAATGCACAACAATAACCTTGTGAACATTCCTCTGAAGGTTATTTGAACGTGATCGCAGTTAGCTCTCATTGGTGATATTTTTGTTAAACATGTCACCATGAGAGGTTCGAGAGGTGTATTGAGAATTTATGTTTGCAAACATGGGTATAATTACAGCACCATTATCTTCAAAAATGGGTGTTACAGCATTGCTATCATCTGCATAAGGAAGATGCTCTTGTGCATCCTTGTATGAATGAAGAACCAAGAGCTTCTTGTTCCAGTAGTGATGACCATAATTAAGCTAACAGAACTGACTTCCTTGGCTCCCCTTATGCAGATTAAAGGTGGGCCAGAAAGTGAAAGGATCTCTAGATTGAAGAAATTTAAAATTTGTTTTTCATTTTCAATGCATCGATCTCAGAGAGGTTTGTATATTTTACAACCTGTCTACCAAATACACAGTCACTTGATAGCTTGAAATTTCTCCTTTTTTCTAAGTATCCTCATTGACTGAAACATTTAAAAAAAATTTAAATCATTGGGCCATTTCATTCAAAGTCTGTTCAGTAGAGAGCAGAAAAACAGAACAGAAAAAAGAGAACTTAGATTCAGAATAACTGGCAAACAACATCAGCTTGAAAGAAATGAATCTTCTGAGTCTTTATAGCAGTTGTATGTTTATCATATTTGTCAGCTACTCAGAGAAATGTCAAATTAATTAAGTTAACTAAGTATTGTCTTCAAACTCACTGTTTTTTATCAGTTCCAGATATATATGTTGAAATACTGATATTATTTAAGCCAAAAAGCTGAGTGCTCAGTGCACATCTCCATATTGTGCAAAGTGCACAAAACTACTCTAGAGTGCACATGATTTGCTATGTAAGTTGCAAACTATCACAGCTTAAACTTGTTACTATTCAATCATGGTTTAGCATTGTACTAACTTACTACAGCTGATTTTAATTACATTATTTAATTTATTATTGCACTATTTATAACTCAATTAGTTATAATTGAATACAATTGTAATACAGTTCTATGTGAAACTTGCTATTTGAACTATAAAAGTTACATAAATATACATACACACAAATATTCAAATACAAAAATTCATCCTAATAAAGAAACACTCACTCTAAATGATACCTAATAAATATATGTCATTATGGTATTCATGTATAATTAACTAATCTTTAATATATTTTACTCAATTTTCATGATTTTGATAAACATAGAACTACAGGAGTGATAACAGAATTGACTTATTTATTTAAAAATTAAATCTTACCAGTAAGGTGTAAATAGTGATATTTAAATAATTATTAGTACACAGCTTCAAAAAATCTCCTGTACTTTTTATGATGTTGTCAAATTTCCTTCAGTAAATTTAACATTTTTCTTTAAGTACATTATATGTTCTAAAAATTACATTTTCAGTCAAAGCAGGTGTAACGTAATGTTAGACAAAGGACAAGCATGTCTTGTTTGTATATACTTGCTCCACATAATTTCAGCTATCCTATATAACATGAACTGTTTAATATCACAAAGAATAAATCAAGTTATAAATCTTGTTTAAGTGAGTTACATTGTTTACTGAGTTCCAGGTGACTTCTCTTGAACATTTCTGTGAAAATTGTAAAATGATATTTAATTAATCTAAGTATTCACTTTAAAAGCTCCTCAAGAAACAATACTTTCAACTCTTACTAAGGAAATAAATGTAAGTTTATATGATGTATTAATGGAGTTTTTATATTTTAAACACAAAAACTCAAAGTAAATATTTCATCTGTTTTAGGTGGCATAGCATATTACATGTTAAGCATCACATTCAATAATAAGCCTGCATGAACTGTGTGCTGATTCTTTTTTATCCTGTAATGCAACAGAAAACTTTTCATACAGCTAGTAAATGCAAAAATAGGTTACATTATATATATAACTTTGCTTAAAAGATGTAATTAAAGAGTCTAAAACATTTTCTATCTCATTTTTTTCCAAAGATATATGTATATCTCTTAAGAAACTACCAATTTTAAAATCCATAAAAGGTAGTCTTTATAGATTATGTAGGAAAAACAAAAACAAGTATATATAAACAATAAAAGGAAAATATATTTTGCACAAATGTCTATATAATAACAGACATTAAAACATAAACAAATCTTATAGTTATTGACTTTGTTAGAAATTTCTTTATGAAGTATTTTTCAATGTTTAATATATTTACATATTATCCTACTGGCAATGTTTACATAAATTTATTTTTATTCCTTTTAAAACTGTGAATCATAGTTTTTGAATCTTTCTTAATCAAAAAATTGCAAAACTACAAAGCAACTGATTTCTTAACATCCTTAATGAAAAAAAGGAATGGGAAAATGAAGTTATTATAATTTTCTAAAACTTTCATCTCCAACTCTGTTCTTATGGTCATCATAGATTACCAATTTTGGAAAGTATTTGTACAAAATTTTCAAATGACTTGTCATAAAATAATCTAAGATATGATTTATTGAATTTAAAAAATTAAATAAATAAAAATGAGTGGAAGAGATTGAAATACCTTTCTACTGTTACCAATCATTGAAGGATTTAGTTCATACATATTCTCACTGACAGAACTTTTCATACTAGATCTTCTTTCTTTCTCATCACTCATTTTGTCTTGGCCAACAAACAGTTCATAAGATCGACATGAAAATTCAGATGGGCTGTTCACAACATTATCACCTCTTCTTCCTGCTACTTCTTCCTCTTGAGCCTCACATTTAAAACAATTAAAACTTATTATAAATAAGTTTTATTAAATAACATTAAAATAAAGAATGATTATTAACATATTTAGTGTTTATAAATGAATACGACACATACAGCTTTATTTAGTTAAACATGGCAGCCAATAAATATACACTATATCTTTTACAGTTTATTGTTTGCAGTAAAAGAGACAAAAAAATAATAAAAGGTAAAAGTAAATTTTATAGAATAAATGCACAAGCTTCAACTACTAAAACTGTTCACACACACAAGAGATATCAAACATTAGAAAAATAAAAATTAATAAAATAACTGTATGATGCTATTGTAAAATATAAAAAAAGATTCTATTCAAACACCAAGCTTTTGATAGACAAAGTGGGGAAGCCAGTAATGTAGGGCTTTTATTCTCCATGTAAAGTTGAGTCAGTTTAGTCTGCTCTGTAATCATTAGCCAATCAAGTGGAATGTCCACTTCCATCCCTATCTTGTTTGGTTTCTTTTCTCAAATTCAGTAGCCAGCCCTGCATAGCTTTTTTATTTAAGGATAAATGTTTTCCTCATACTTGTTGTACTTAAAGTTTGGTTTAGGTAGAGAATCTGTATGTAAATTCTTTAACATATTGTATTTAATGTTTGTTTTAGATAAGTAATCTGTATGTAAACGTCTAAATATATTGTATTTAATGTTTGGACAATGTGAATAATATAAATGTAAAAATCTTAATGAATTATACTTGATGCTAGAATCATATTACGTTTTGCACATATCAATGTCAAGAAATATGAAATCTGTGATAGTGTATGAAGCAAGTGAAGAATTTAACCATGCATTCTTTTGTCACTGAGGAATCTTTCCACCCAGTAACATTATTTTTCTAACATAATAAAATGTTTATACCAGTTTTTTAGCCTGTTGAGCAGCATATGCTGCCTCTTCTGCAGCTGCATCTTCTTCTTCTCTTGCTGCTTCCTTTCGGAGGCCATCATAAGACATGGCTACGATAGCCAAGATCAAGTTGACCAGATAGTAAGAGCCCAAGAAGATAATCAGGACAAAAAAGAGCATGTGCCATGGCCCAGCAGATTTTAGCACCTGAAATAATAGTTATACTGAATGAGATAAATGTAACGACAGCAAGAGAAATTTACTTGTAATGTAACTATCTGTTTTTTATTGTTCTTTTTTATATGATTCTTTTAACTTAATAAGTTATTTTTATTGTTGAAAGTAATGATTTTCACTTAGGTTATTATTTTTTGAAAACAAAATTTAAAAAAGACTGATTCTTGAAACATCAGTGTTTAGCCAATATATTTCAAAGTTATAGATAAAATTATTTAAAATCTTAAAAAAGCATATAGATCTAAAATTATTAGTGAACAAGAAATAACGTGAAATTCTGAACTAGGTATTTAAATGTTATGATGAATATGATACACTAACCTGGAACAAATATGTATTAAACATCTGTCTATAATATTGTATTGCTTTATACTGAATACTGTTTGTTGACTTAGGGTGAAGCTTAAAAGTAATTCAGTAATTTGAATTATTTATAATGTAGAATATTATGCTCGTTTATGCTCTTTAATTTTTAAATTTAAACAGCTCATTTATCTTTAAATATGAAAATGACTTATCTCTTCACTTGAAAATGCATAAGTATTATATACATAAATTATTTACATTCAATAAAATATTTCTAATTGATTTTATTTCCTAAATAATTTAAAATTTCTACATCAAGTGAATGGTACAATTAAGTAGAATTGCATTGAGTTATGAAATAAAAAATAATACAACAGTATAATTTATACATATTTCTAACAACTTGAGACTGGGTTGGAGCGGCATTTGTTTATCACCTTACTAATAAAGTACATCTCAGTTTCATTTTATACACTCTTAAGGTCTGAATTAAGTAGTTCTTTTGAGCTACACAAATCAGCTGGTAAAGTTCAGAAGTCCTTTCATTCATAATTTTTGTATGAAGTGCTAATTTAAGGTTGCTTAACTACAGAAATTTTAAGGATGATGCACAGTTAACTTAAAATTTTTCTGAAGATATGAAAATGGAACTCTGTGTTTCATTCTGTGGTTAATTCAGAGTGAACTTAGAATGTCCTACAATGAGAACTCAAAGGATTAATTTAGATCTCTTGATCAGAACATACACTGACACTGTGAGAACAAATATTGGCTGAAACAAGTGAAGAAACATGTTTACAGATAAAAAAATTATGTACGAGGTGACTGATCCAAACCAACAACTTAAATATAAAATGTTTGTCTTCATTTATATTAATGTAAATGTTACAAACTAAAATCAAGATCTTAAGTCTAAGTTTTCTGTATTATAGATACTAGTATAAAATACCTATGCTCTACTACAGGGTTCAAAGGCACCATCATGATTCATAGAGGCCCCACTATACTCATCAACCTCCTCCATTATCCACAATTACTTCTATAGCTACCACATGGGGGAGTCTGTACCCAAAAACAAAAGTTGGTACCACTAGCTTTTCATTGGGGAAATAAACAGTTTCAAATGGTGTCCTGGGGATTCTGAAGAGAGCCACAAATGCAAAATCTGATGCTTGGGTGAAATTCTGAGGGTGCATATTTATATGGCATAGCCTTAATAGGGTGGGCTATGCCATATAGATAAGGACACTCTGAATATGCATGCCAAGTTTCATCCTCGTAACTCCAGAACCATGGGAGGAGTTAGTTGTACATATATACATACAAAGCTACAAGCTCAATTACTATAGAATTCTAATTCAAAGAAACACTAACATTCTCCAAATTCTATTTCATATGAGTATTCTGACTGATTACATGCTATACAGGTATTATAGTTATAGACAGAAAAAAGTCTTAACTCCTTCATGACATTTCCCCCAAATATATGTGTAAAATTTATCAGCCCCAAATAGGAAAAAATTATGTTCTCCAAAAGTCAATATTTCATTTTTGGGAGGTGATTTGTTTAGGTAATCAAACTACATGTGACAGGTAAAGGAAAAAAAAACTCTGTGTCACAAATTATTCTGCTTCAAAAATTATTTGGGTCATTGGACATTGGATAGTTTCATGCATATGTCGTATTATAAATCTAACTGAGAGAGACAGTCACATGTTTCAAAAAAAAAAGCAGTCTGAAAACAAGGAAGTTTATTAACAGTCCAAAAAGTCTCCAAGACCCCCCATGACTGCCACAGACACAAAATCTACTGTGAATCAAAGGAGCTAAACACCGTTTGTTATTGCTGAGCTGGTAATGATCATAAAAATACCAAAACAGTTAAAACATCCAATTTCTATTTTCATCTAATAATGAGCATATGGAAATATTTTTACCATCTGATAAAGAGATTCCCAGGCGTCTTGAGTCATTAGTCTGAATGCTGATAGAAGTGCCCAAGGAAATGTGTCAAAGCTAGTAAAGTCATAATTTGGATTGTCACCATATCCCTGCAGGCACTTATATCCTGAGGGACAAACTCTATAAAAGACATTATTGATGAAGAAACAGAAAAAATATATATATGTTCTAAGATAATAACTTATGATATATTACAAACTAGAATGCCAAAACTAAGAAACTTTTGAATAATTTCAACTTCAATACATTCAGAGTTAGTAGGTTTGAGAACTTTAATTGACTATAAACTGCTTCCTGAAAGAAAAGGACAATACATTTTAGCTGAAATATTAGAAGTTAAAACGTTATTTCCATTCCTTTCAACAGGAAGTTGCAGTCCATTAAAGTTCTCAAGCCTATTATGTCTAATCTGCCTAAAGTTCCACTGAAACAGCATCCAGGGTTAGATTTTTATACATAGTAAATAGACTTGTTCAGAACAAAAGCTGTAAGAACAATGAAACTTTAAAACTTTTGTTTCTGAATCATTAAATTTATTACATTTTTATTTACTTTTGTGAAAACTGCATAAAATGCATGTTAGGTATTAAGTTGAATATTAAAAGTAATTATTTTTTCTTGGAACATCTTGCATAAAAATGTTTTCAGTTAAAAATTCACTGTTGATAAGGCTTAAATGCAAATGTTACATGAACTCAGCATTATTAAACTGTTTCATAAATACAAAGTAGTCAAAATTTCTGTGATCAGTAGAGTTGCAACAGGTGGGGAATCTGCCTCAAATGGGCCCCTCAAAATTGGTATTTGATATTTTGAATGTTTTAATTGAAAGGAAAATATTCTGAAACACAGAAAAAGTTTCATTGGAGGGTGGGGTAAAAAGAATTTTCCAGGACCCTTTGAGACCTAGCTATACCACTGGCTGTTACTTATCTTGGTTTAAAATGTAGTATACTTATAAAGACACTGAATTATTTTGAGGTTTAATTTCAAGTATATATCCAAACATTTTTTTTATTTTTCAAGAAAGTTTTCACATGATATAATAAGTGTTATAAATAGTAATATAAATTTAAAACAGCAATTTTAACATGACATATTTCTTAAAAGTATAATATATTTTATATTATATTTCACAGTTTCTTTCAAACGACATTGTAAAGGACATTTTTGGATTACATTAATATATATATATATACATTTCTTTTTAAATGACAATCAGTGTTCTTTCCAGATAAAATGTTACCTTAACACAAATATGCATCTTTTTTTTTACCTTATGGTCAACATTAACACCAAGTTATTTAGTTTGTAGTTAAGCACAATATTACATGATGGGCTATCTGTGTTGTTCCCACCACAGGTATTGAAACCCAGTTTTTATGGTTATAAGTCTGCAGCTTTCCATTGTGCCACCGGGGGGCAGCATCCAGTAAATCCTTATATTGAGTAAATACTTTAAGACTAGATAATGTCTTTTTTTTTCAAAAACTTTATAAACAACCACATCATTAACCTTACTTCTACAATCACAATTCCTTGGCTATCACATTTACACAGTACAAGAGATGTTGATATTACATAATATTAAACTTGAACTTTAGCTTAAGTTATACGATTTTATTTACTTACTTTGCCCCAGTACTATTTCCACATAATGGATAAGTTCCATTTATCTTGTTCCAGTGAGCTATTTGGATATAAACAGATTGAAAGATAGATTAATGAATAAAAATAAAAATATTCATAATAACATTAACATTCTAGCACCCATATCTTTATGAAGTAATTTTTAAAAAACAACAGATGAAATTTTAAGACTCAAAACTACTTTATACTCAATAGAGAAGTTAGAAAATAACTTGTGGCCAAAGAACTCAAATGTTGTGTATATATATATATTTTTGTTTCTTTTCCATTTATTTTATTAAACAGTTTAAAGCATATATCTACATATATATAGATAGATATAGGTATATGTTTTAAACTGTTTAATAGAATAAATTGAAAAGAAACGAAAATTTAGAAATTATCATTTAAACACATTTTATTAGCACTTTTCCCAGTGAAGTTGCATATTTAGTATGACAGTTCTTTTAGCTATTTGACAGAGAAGAAAATCAATACTTACAACTATTTGAAACAAATTTTTCATACTGAATATGTGAGATGTTTTTTGGCCACTGTAAGACACACTTCTGAGTCAGAACACCCATATAAACCTGAAGTCCCAGCAAGGCAAAGACAGACAGTGCAAACACTGTCAAAATTATCACATCTTTCAGGTTTTTTACAGACTCTATAACAGCACCTACAATGGTTTTCAAACCTGTAAAAGTATAATGATTTTTATTTTAGAGACATAAAGGAAATGTCACAAATTTGCTAGAATATAATGTTTATTTCTGTAAAATTGGCAGCAAGAATTTATGTAATGTGTAACTCCAAGTGCTATTAAGTGTCATAAACTCTTTGATAAAGTAAAATATTATTAAAGTGCTTTATTCAGTGTTCATGTGATCCCAGGGAAAGATAGATTGGAATCACAGTGATCTTAATTTTGCTGTGATCACAAATAATATACTGATTTTATGTGATACAGAAGAGATATTCATGTTGTTGTGATCACGAATAGTACCCTGATTTTGTGTGATCACAAAAAAGATCTTGATGTTTACTATTCATTACTCATGCAGTCACATGGAAGCCTTGCAGTTACCACAATTAAAGGCCATTTACCATACATTTGTCCAAGGTGCCAAATGATCCAAGTCTTGTTTTATTACCTCAACATCTTTAGTACAGTTAGAAACACCCAAAAGTTTAATGTCATCAATAAACGTTACTAATTATACCTCTATCAACATGATTAGTACAAATAAGAATAAACAAAGGCCCTAAACAATGATTCCTGAAATGTCCAGTTTGACTCTATTAATGACAACCTTTTACTTTTTTTTCTTTCAACCACACTACAATTCAATTAACTAGTCTTCCACTACCAATAGAATTTTCTTAGCTAATTTTCTGTGTAGCACATTTTCAAATCTTCTTTAAAATCTAAGTAAACTAAATCCATACCCTTTCCATCATCCACATAACAATTAACATATCTAAAAATAAGACAAACTAGTAAAGGAAGATTTTCCTTTGGTTTTGTCTGAAGAGAGCATTATGTTAATCTACCAACTTATACAATAAAAAATTGGTAATATAAATTCCACATTTCATGTAAAAAAAATTCACATGTACGTGGTGAAGAACCATTGAATAACTGATAATAGTTTTTCTCTGGTAATATTTAACTACTTTATTCACGACATAGCACAAATATACCAAGAAACAAATCAATAAGTAAAAATTAATAATCTAATATAATAAGAACACTTTTCAACTTGAACATGTGTTCTTACCTGGAACTATAGCCACCGTTTTCAAGGCTCGAAGCACTCGAAACGTTCTTAGTGCACTGAGATTCCCAAGGTTTACTCCCATCGTTATATATCTGGAAGAGAAATGCGTCTTTACTGCCTGTGTTCGATACTAGTAGTTTATATACTATTTAGATTCTTTCATTGCAATATTGACAACATTTTGCATTTATTTCCTGTGTTCGATACTAGTAATTTATATACTGTTTAGATTAATTATGCTAGTAGTGACTGACAGTCTTGATCACACATACTTACTATCTACAGCTTGTAGTTTTTCAAGTTTCTTACAAATTACACAACAGGAAAAGCATATTCTAAAGAAAGGGCATTTACAACAGAATGTTATGTCCTCTCTCAACAGTATAATCATTACTAATTTTGGACAATTTAAAAGTAAAATGTCCATATGTTAATAAATTCGTTTTTTTTTTGCTTTTGAAAAGCAATCTGACAAAATATATTAAACTTTTAAAAAACACATCACCACAAAATGCAATATTTCTCAAAAATGCTAAACATTTTACATAATTCTGCAAAATAAATTAATTTTGAATGCCATTTTGGTTACTGAGAGTGAAAACCCTCCAATTAACTTATAATTATACTGAATAACTGTAGGACCATTTGGACAGAATAATATTCACCCAAATTCTACTAAATTAAATATAGGTAATTGTTTTTCTGGTAAATAGAACAAGTACAAAACTATACTTACGCTAAAGATATAACGATGAAGTCTAACCAGTTCCATGGGTCACGAAGATATGTGAACTTGTCTAGTATAAAACCACGTGCTAAAATCTTGATACTTGATTCTATTGTGTAAATTGTTGTGAAAATCACCCTGAAAACGATCCAAGTTTGTGCAAAATTTTAAAATACAGGAATAACAAGTTGATCGTAGCTTCACAAACAATGTTTGGCTAAAAATATTTATGTTCAAAAAATCAAATTCAACGGTTTTGTGTTTTAATGTTTCTTGCACAAAAGTACTAGAGTTTTAGACACAACTTTCGATGGTTTAAGACTTTAATTTCATGTTTTTAATAATATTTAAGTATAAAACAAATCATTCATTTGTTGTTGTTTAAACTAAGCAGAAAAGTAAATAATGTCTTCACTTACTCAGACTGTTCAACGCTTTCATTGCCAGGCATGGTCATAAGAACACAGTTGACGAGGATCGTAACTATGACGATAAAGCTAAATACTGGGTGGACGAGAATATAGATGGCTAAACGACGGAGTGGATTGAAAGGACTGAGGAGCCAAAGAGCGTTATGAGCACTAAATCGAAAAATGTCTTTACTTTTGCTAATTACAGTAAATGTCTGTAAAAAGAAACAAATAAGTGCGTTTTTATTTGGAAATGTAAAATAAAACATTACAAGCTGAAAATATTAAAAACCCAATCAAGTTTGACATTTATAAAGCAGCTTTTAAAGTTTTCCGATGCTTGCTTGGGTCCTATACACAAACTAATAACTTAAAACATTAATGTCTCATACAAAAATAACTTAAAATATTGCTATATACGTTTTATACACGAACTGATAACTTTAGTACATTGCCACGTTTCATTAACAAATTGATAACTGAATACATTACTGCGTCTTATACACAAACTGATACCGTAATACATCAAAAGACAACTCCAGTATAATAATAAATTCATAAATGTCAAGTATAGATAATTTCCCAAATTATTTAAAATTCGATAAAAATGAGAATTTGTGGTGCTAAGGATTAAACAAGAAGCAATCTTGTTGTTAAAAAATGGTTACTAAGCCCATATTTGTTACTTTAAGAACTTGTAAGAAAAGCAAAGAAAAAATTTAATAATATGTCAAACACACTAATCTGTCTATCCAGTGCCAATGAGGCCTTTCTTCCAATTTCAGGATACATCAAGCCAGTTTGATATGACAGGCTCAATAGTGGGCTAGAGCTAGGCGCATTTATATCATTAATTATATGAACAAAAACTCTTATGGTATGGATTAGATTGAGTAAGTGAAGTGTAATTATTATCAGTTTTATTTACGTTATTTACAAATCAGAATTACGGTAGGGATTAAAGCCAACAGGATAAAACTGTTTTAGTAACTCTAAGAAGTTACGATTGCAAGCAAAGAAGAATACATAATACGTCAACCACACAAGATCTATCATATCCAGTTATTCTACTTTTATGTGTTCGACTAAACATATTGAAATGGTGTTAATACTGACGGTTGAATGGAGAGAAAATTTCGCATTGCATTGTCCTTCATAATTTAGTGATATATATAATCTTTTCGTTATTTTGTTTTTTTTTCGAAAAACGTAAGTTCATATATATATATAGAGAGAGATAGTTATATAATGTTGGTGTTTATCGTTCCTTTAATACCCAAGTAAATGTCAACTTGGCATCATTCGAATCTTGCACATTTTACATACGATAAATACTTTACTACTTAATATATCTCATAAACCAAACGGTATTAAATTCCTTGTTGGGGTCATTCAATCGATCATATAACAAAATAATTGTAAATGCAAATGATGAGATAAAAAGTCAAGTAGATTTGAACAGATGTAATTAAAAATTCAAGTATACCTGAATATTACACTTGGTTCCGACATTACTGTGAGCATTAAATGTTTCTTAAAAACCAAAACAACATAAGGTTT